GAGGGAGGGAGAGAGAGAGAGCAAAAGAGGAGCCTGAAGCAGGCTGATAGATACCCTCGAGGTTGAGGTCATTCGAGGCCGCGTGCGTCTCGAGGATGCGGAAGACGGCATGCGATAAGAAGGGAGATGCGAGATGTTTGACATTTGGAGTCTGAATACTCCAGAATTAATGTCGCAGATTTTAGCAAGATATTTCCTTCATTCATGGATCCTTTTTTTATTTCATCCTGTAATTCCTGGCGAAAATAAAAATCGGAGCGTAAATAGAGTGTAAAGGAAGAAACAATGGCAGAAAGTATAATAAACAAAACTTAAATTCTAGAATGCGTAAATTGGAGCAGCAAAATGTGTAAAATAAGGAGCATTATTTATCTTTTAAAAATGCTTCTATATTGTGCTCCAGTATTTCAATTTACGTTTCCTAGAAGTTTTATTGATGCTTCTTTTCTCTCTCTCTCTCTCTCTCTCTCTCTCTCTCTCTCTCTCTGTAGTCACTCTTCATTCACATTCACGCATTCAACTTACGCTCCGATTTTTATTTTCGCCCCGAAAAAAAATCCTATTTTGGCAAAAAAAATCAAAAGGATACAAGAAAATAAAGGCAGAACATATATAATAATTAGACAGGATGGTTATTTGAAATATCGAGATATGATTACGACTTTGTTTTTACAGTTAAATCCTTATCTTTATTAAACTTGCATTTATATGTATATCAGGTGGATATCAATGATATCATGAAATTCGTATTGAATTATAAATATGACGAATTCTAGAGTCAATTCTTATAGCTCAACTACGGTCTGATCGGTAAATCTAAATGCTAACTGAAGTTTCGGCTCTCGGCGTTTCGAATCTCCAAGTACAGCGTGAACAGCGTGTGGAGGGCCTCCAGTCGGGCGTTCTCTCGCGTGGGAATGTCCAGGAGATTGCAAGCCACGTCGACTAGCTGCGGCAGATCGCAATCGAGCTCTGATAAATCCAGCTGCAGCTCGTTGAGCTTCTCTTCCACCTGCGCCGGCCACTGCTGCATCAGCCCGTCGATATCCGGCATCACGCGGTTCAGATGCACGCCCGGCGGATGTTTACTTCTGTGCAGCTGATTCATATCGTCGATCCATTTATCGATCGACTTGCTGTTCCTCTCGGCGTCCTCGATCCTCTTGACGACTGCTTGTCGCGCGGCGGCACCGGCGCTCCTGGAATGATTGCGTAGCTGCAGATGCAACACCGCCGGATCCGACTGATCGGTGCAGGGCTCGTCCAGTACAGTCAGGCCGATCTTATCTTCGATCCCGTCAGGTCTTGGCACCTTTATGAAGGCGTCTATGTCGCCAACCGCCGGTATGTAGTCAGGAACGAACGGTATCAGCTTGTAATTGAGCTCGATCCTCTGTGGTGTGTACCTAAATGGATTGATGATTGTTTGGTTATAAATATACATATACAATGATGTATACAATGATAAGTCAAATCTTTGAAAACTTAATATATAATTTTTGTACTTAATCACGTTTATTATCCATTTCATTTTATACCTATTTAATTTTATATTTAATTAATTATATATGTAATAGTTAATTGTATTACTTTTTATTATATTTAATTTATACCTTAATTATTTATATCTAGTTAATTTTATTAATACATTTTTTACTTATACTTTCATTATTTTATTACACTTAATTATTGCTGCTCCAAAAATAAATCCGTAAATTAAAAAAAAAACACCAAATGCTTGCCTTATTATATTTTGGAACAATTCCTTGACCTCCGTCGAGGCCTCCAGATTCTCGAATTCCTTAGGATCGTACAGGTCGATCGGCTTCGCGACGCTGGTACCCTGTATGTCATCGTCATCGCTCTCCTCGCTGTCGGAAGGATCGCTACCAATTCCCATCCTATTCGATTTCTCGAAGCCAACATCGTTGCTCGAATATCTGCCAAATTGAAATATATTATACTCCCGTGTTTCGCATCTATAACTATTTAGGATAAGGAAAAAGTGGAAAAACTAAGTTCCCTTCTTGCCTTTGTAAACCAAGAAGTATAGATAAATAATTTATTCTATTTTCCTGTTTTATTTACATATGGCATCTATAAATGCAACAATCACGCGACGAAGAAAAATGTGCTACAGGAAAATTCTATGAAGCCGACGGACGTCACGCTGGATGAGTGAGATTACTGTCAATTAGTGACTAGTAATAATCCAGCGATTTACGTGATATATTTGCGTCTCGCGATCACCTCCTGAACTCGTGCTTGCCGCCACGCGGTGAGCCGGACACCAGCGTCTTCGTACTGTCGCTCGTCACGCTCTTCCTGGTCCTTCTGGAGCTCGCGATCCCGCGGCTCACCGGGCTCTTGATCTCCTCGGCGTTACGCACCACGATCGCCTCGTCGAATTTACCGAACGCGGCGACGTCGCGTGTTCTCTCGTCCTCTTCATCGCTGCTGTCCTTGATATCCATGTTGCTCGGCGCCGAGGAGTGTCCATCGGCACGTCCTTCGACGATCGCTCTCAGGGTCTGTATGACGACGAGCGTGGGATAGACCAGGGAGCGAAATTATCCGACGGCTCTTATCGTTGATCTAACTAACGTGAATTTATAACCGATAAATGTGACAGGAAAAAGAAAACTCCGTAACTCCGTCTGACTCGCTATCTATGCGTTGGACAATGACAGCGGTTTGTTTCCTTAACGTTACCATAGTTTTATCGATTGAAATCAGCTGTTGAATAAGCATAAAACCTTGAATATTCCATTGAAAATGTATATTAAACATTGGAAATTGGAAGATGGTAAATTAGAAATTAGAATTCAACCAATCAAAATGAAATGAATTAAAAATATAATTATCGGGATGAATCATATTCTAATCTTCAATTTGCAATCCTCAATGTCCAATTCGTAGTCTGATTAACCGGCTTAACAAAGTACTTAAGATTAATACAGCAAAATATGTCAAATAATAATTTAATTTCTGCTATAGTTATTAATATGTATACAATTTAGTTTGTATCATAAATATAATATATAAAAAACATATATATATTATAAATTATAATTGTTTTACTGAAAAATTAGAATTAATATGCCTCACGAATTTTTTTAACTTTTTGTTTATGTATTATAATTTATATATATCATAATATATTGATATATTATATATTATAATTTATTATATATATATATATATATATATATATATATAGTAATACATAAACAAAAAAAGGAAAAAATATAAGAGGCATATTCTAATTTTTCAGTTCTTTTTTCAGTCGTTTGTAACATATCTAAGCTCATTGTACAATTAAGTACAATAACTTTCCTATAATTATTTAATGAGTAATTTCCTTCTCCGGATGATGCTTTTCTTATCAATTATCAATTTGAAATCCCCGGTTCGTGACACAATTTAAAATGAATCATTATGCTAACTGCACATTAATCGGATTCAACCGCGCGACGACAATTTATTGCTTATATATTTTGAAATAATATATTCAGTATTTAAATAAGTTGCAGTATGAGATTCATACATTTTTCATCTTGTGTACTTTCGTATTTTATAGCGATATTGCACCTCGGGGGATTTACGCATATATTTGTGATATCTTTATGTTCTTTTTTATATTTTTCTTTTAGATTTTAATTTCGATATATTTTTAGTTGTGTTTCAGAGACAATCACACAATGTCAATTAAAAAGAAATCTAAAGTAAAAAATTTAAATTTAGAAAATTAAAATTTGACAGAATTTTTGAACAGAAACCACATGTTCCTTATCACGAACAGCTTCGATCGAGCTCAATCTTTATGTACGCAATCCACATAATCCAAACGCGAAAGACACTGTCCGCGATAAAGACGACTTTTGTTTTATGGCAGGCAATATAGACAAGTGCAATAAATTGCTGATGGAGCTCGCGCGTCGTTTTATCTACCGATAAGGCATAAATGCATTAATCGCCATGGAAAAATGCCGAACCAATCGGTAAAGGCTGAGAACTCGCAGAACTGTGTCGTAAAGTGTTTATTAACGTTATAAGACGATTATAAACATGTGATCCCATCTACGGGGATTACATCTGGCGATACGCGCAACGTATAAACACAATTACAGTGATAAAAATATAAATAACCAAAAATCTCTCTCTCTTTCTCTCTCTCGAAAGAAAGATAGAAAGAGTGGTAAAAAAGACGATATTATAAAACAACAACAAGGAAACAGTTATAATCGTCGAAAATAAGTATTGCAGTTATCAAAAATTGCTGAAGAACGCTCGCAATCAAAACCATCGCGATCGATCCTTTCCGGAGAATGTTTTCGAGAAGGATATTTTCATCTTGAATTAAACGACGAGCTATCTCAAGTCTTCTTCATTGGCTTCGTGAATGTCATTTTCTTCTAAATCGGATATTTTCCGTAGACGTGACCACTCCTAGTGCGTCTTACCAGCCATTCCCGAGTTGTTGTCTGAGGGACAGGATGACCCGCCTGCGTCTTCTGAGAGTGCTTAACGCGGCTAGAGCGCGCGTTGCAATTTGAGATTCTAAATTCTAAAACAAAAAGGAAAAAGGAGAGGATTAACTTCTCAACAGATCCGAGACTGAGTCTGTCAAACACCGGCGTTATCTTATGCATCGCGTGTCTGCGATATATTGCGCGACGGAATATTAAATATTATATAATTATTAAAGCATCATTGCAGGAAATTTAGAAACTTTAGAAAACGTCAAAATCCAAAAGCACAGAGGAGTTTCTCTCTCCATTTCAAGAAAGAATCGCGTGAAGAGAGATAATCTCCGTTCGCAGCCGTCTTTTTTCAAAAGATGGCGGAGGGCTTAATATTAATAACCGATCTGTTTTTCCGTTTTTAGAGACCTTTACGTGACGACACTTTAGCGCTAGAGGTAGCTAGATGCAAAATATTTTGCGTCTTGGGAACAATGTCGCACGATGGATCAATCGAGTCGCCGCAAGCGTGGAAGCAGCCCGTTAAAGAACCCACGGTTCTCGAGTACCAGAAGGACGATGGATCCTCTTCGAAAGCCATAGAAATCCTATTAGTTGCAGGGAAAGGTCTTGGTTAAATCTTCAGTTATCTTTGCTTTTGATTAAAAATAATTATCATAAATATATTATAAATATATAAATACATTATATAAAAAAATATAGAATATTAATATAACATAAATATGTATGTAAATAAATATAAATAAAATAACCTCAATAAATTAAATTTGTCCTGCCTTTTTTAGCGACTATTGAGTGATGCGAACTTACATCTCGATGTTCGTGTCATAGCCCGACACTTCGCTCTGAGAAGAATTCGCGGACAGCATCATGAACGCAAAAACGAACCCGCAAACGGCGAGGAACACGAAAAAATCGGCGGCAGGATGTTGCGGCGCGATAGCGCGTATTTTCGAAGCCGCGTTATCGAGATCTTCCTCCGTTGCAGGGGCGAACCATGTAAACTCGCGCAAGACAGAGTCCTGCAATGCAATAAAATTACAAGCACATAAATTGAGTACACATTACTTATTAAGATTATATATGTAATGAGAGATAAAAGTTCGTGTAATTCGCCGAAATCCAATTGTTATCGTCTTACTGTCGACGTTACAATTAAGTATCTATGCATGTTTGGGCAGCACATTATCAGCATTATTTAGCGCTTTTTTCGCTTATTAGAAGTAAAACATGAATGGAATGTCGATAAAATGCCGACAGCGTGCTTCCTGTAGACGCGTTTATAATAACACGATAGGAATATTCCGTCAGTTTCTTTCGATCGCAAGTGGGTTAGATGTGAAAAACATACTCGCAGAAATATCAAAATTTGCTGGACAATCAATTGGACCAGATAATACACGTTAACCAGATGATCCATAATCGACTGTCGCTTCACTTATCGTTTTCGGACCGATTTTAAAGGTGCTTTTCAAAAATATATAATATGATTTTGCCGTGCCGTCGTGTCATTCTCATCAGGGAAGAAGACTGTTCGATCTATTAGTAGGAAAGCCTGACAAAGGCATCTCGACATTGAATCGACAGTCATTTTCGTGCATGCATATCGTGCATATATCATTGACATTGATATATACATGCATGCGTTCTGTTTTAAGCTTGCTGCATCTTA